AGTCTCGTGCTCCATCTAGTGGCTGTAAGTATTACTGACACCTGTGTGTTAAAGAACAGCGTTGTAGAAATTCTATAGCATGGAAGGTTCCAGTGGCTCGCAACTTTCCTATTGCTGCCACACTTTGATACAGTTCCCCATGTTTTAATGACCCCAACCATAAAATTATTTTGTTGCTCCTTCATAAGTGTAATTTTTGCTACTGTTTTGAATCATAATGTAAATACCTGTTTTCCGATGGTACTAGGCAAACCCTGTAAAAGGAACATGTGAACCTCAAAGGGGTCTCAGCCCACAGTTTAGGCGGCAGTGAACATTCCAAATTATACCTACATTTTCTGCATTTTCTATAAGTGCATACTTAGACAATTTAAAATAACATACACTACCAATAAATGAAGGAAATCAACAGTAGTTATTCAGAGCACAAATATGACTCCGTTAACTTAAATCTTCTGCAATTTTTTATTTGAACATACTGCAGACATCATTGGATGGGAGGCATACCCAATGCAGACAAGAGGATGTGAACAACAGGCCTGCTGGCAAAAGTGTGACCAAAGCTACATTTTCTCCTTTATAATGTTCCTTCAACAATCTAGCCTCCATGGGTGTTGCTACAAGGACAGTATTTCAAATTGCTTGCTAACATATCCGTGTTATTACCTAAGCAGCACAGTTACAAAATATAGTTGATTATTTTTTGATTTTAATGTTCACCTCCAAATACTTCTTTAGCTGTGTGTTTATTGCTAATATCTTGAAAGGGTCCCTTTTCTGTATCCCTACAAATGTTCACATCATTCAGTCCTAAGGAAATGCATGAGTGATCAGGCATTTGTAAAGCATCAACAGGAAAATGACTGTGACTTCCTTATAGAAAGTTTCTCACTGCAGCTTGCTCTCCTCCCATAGCGTGCTTGGATTTCATAAGTCATCTGTTATAATCCCAAACTCCGCATTAAGTATTATTGGTCACACATAAGGATCTTACTCAACATGCCCGAAGCAAAGGTAAGGCGAAGGAGATGTTTATGAAAAGCAAGCAAGCCAGCCTGAATTTCTATAGAGCCAGTGCTGATTACATTTTACTCACCAAGTTATGAAATCTTGCGTATAATTATAAATTATAAGGTAGCCTGGGATCACTTCACACCAGTTACAACAAGTTAACCAGATTGTACTCTTTCCATTTGACAATAATGCCACTTTTCACTGTCAGTTCAAGAGATTATGAGTACACAAACTGAAGTGGTCCCTGAGTTCCAGGGCACTGGTTCTTTTGCCTCAGCCCCAGTCCCCCTAGATTACAAAAGTCACACATGTTCAAGACGTAAGATAGAAACCAGTGAAACATTTGCATCTAACCTTCACATATCTTCTTGTATGCTTCAGATAAGATATAGTTACCCACAATGACTGATAAAATGCAAATGTTTCCCACAGCTGCTATACATACAGCTGAGGGAGTGCTGACAAGAAAATACCCATAGGTGTTGAGTACAATCCAAGGCTGGCTGAATGCACAGAAGCAGACCCATTGGATACAGAGGGCTGGCTATAACTCTCTGCTAAGTGGGTGATTGGATTTGATACAGTTTGGGGTCTTGGAGTAGGAATTTAGAAAAGATATTTTGATGTAGACTAGAGGCAACATAGCCAGCTGTTTAAAAGAAGTAACAGTTTTCAGTGTGGAGGTCTCTTGGATTACAGATCAGGGCATTTTCTTTGCATTTGTCATGTTCAGTCTGCCTATTGCTTAACTGGCAAAGATGGAGAAGCTGAAGGAGAGAGGGTTGGGGTGAGGACCATTCAGATCCTTCCAGATTACTGAATCAGGCCACTACAATGGGCTTATGATAGTTATTTTCTAGATTGGAAAAAGTATATATAAACTCCCAAACTGACAATATTACAGCAAGTTTGTCATTTGTCTCCAGATGTTGCTTCAACACTATTCTCAAGGAAGTCATTTCAGGGACAGTGCCAGCATCACAAGTCTAATCAGTTTCTACTACAATGGTTACACTAGATCTAGATGGAAGAATTTCCTTGATTGAGATGACCCTATAGAGTTAACTCCCAGAAGACTTAAATGTATTTTGCACACATTAAGAGCAGTTCATAAAGATCTCCTCCCTCAATGTATGAGGACCACAAACCTTAAGTCAATGTGATGAAACAGATCGGAATGCATGACTGACAAAATTGGGAGTGTCTGCGTTGAAGGTCATAAGATGCTTTGCTCACAGTGGAGTGGAGAAGACCATCAAGAAGCAGTCAGTGACAGCAAATGTGTGACCCCCCCCCAGGGAGTCCCATTCATCTGGATCCCTCAAACTGCATCATCAGGGATAGACAGACACTGCCAGGGAATAGGACTCTGCCTTCAAATTCCACCCAGAGTCTTGCTGACAAATAAGCTGTTACTGCATGTTTATAAGGAGAGGTGGGGAACAGACCTCTGTTGGGGCAAAAGTGCTCTCAACAGCTGCAGCTACCAGGTTGCTATGCAGACCAAACACGACAAAAGACGTGCAAGTTGGCAGGAAACAGCAGAGCAGTGACTTGCTTCTGTGAGAGGTGAAAGGCGAGGGCTCCCTCTAATTAGAAACATAGTCTGTGCTGTTATGTATAAGGCCACCGTGACCTTCAAAGTCTATGAGGTCATCTTTCTAATAAGTCAAGCTCATTAATTCAGCTTCAGCCTTCACGGTTTATGTACCTTTGAATTGTGGTGAATAACTGACATCTCTTCTACTCACTCGGTATATGTTAAAACCTGTAAGATGAAGGCTGATAGTGCTGGGGAAATAAGTCTTTAATCGCATGTGATGAAAAACCCTCCTTTCTTTCACTGCGTATCACTGGATAAGTAGAGTAGGGGTGTTTGTGTGAAAATGAGGCTAATGTATATCCCAGAAAGCTCAAGGAGAGTAGGAACAGCTCAACATATGTGATGATTCACTGCAGACAATTTATGTGTATGTGTAGAAATTGCCCCATAACAATCAGTGGCAGGGCCTAATAACACTTCCTGCTATTATCTGCTAATTGAAGATGCTTGTGGACTTCCATGTCTTTCTGTCCATTTCTTTGCCTTAATGACTAAGAAGGGGATTTAAAAATAGTCCAATGGGCTGGTAGCATGTGCAATGCCGTGGGTTCAAGTCCCAGAACTCCAGGGAATAAATAAATAAATCACAAAACTAAAAGTGGTGCCTGAGAAACAGGTGGAAACTCCTCACGAGAAAGTTCACAATCAAAGGAGAGGGAAGGACACAGAATTAAGTGGGAACTAGGGGAGGAATTTGGAGCAGAGAGGACACACAGAAGAGACAAGCAGAAACCACAGACTATCTAACAAAATCTCCAGTACCAAGCAATGGATATTGGTCAGGAGGGTCCAAAAGACCCACAAACAGTATGAGCAGTTGCCATTCCCCCTGGTTACCTCCCTATTTAATTGGAGTTGCCCTCCACACGAGGTGCTTTTCTCCCTGAAGTCATAGTCTGCCAAGGATAAAGTCCAGTGCTAGGTATGGGAGAGATATTTCTCCCTCTTTGAGTTGATCAGGGGTGTCCTAGAGACCCCCCCAAACAATACAGTCTTTTTTACCATTGCTAAAGTTCTCACATACTTTGGTCACAGGGTCCGGAGAAACCAAGTTGGTACCGACCAGGAAACTTACTTCCTGTTGGCTAGCTGACTTAGTACTGGAAGGTGCTGTGCAGGCTGCTGGAGCAGGGTGGGTCACCAACGGTTTTACTCAGTTGTAAGCCCCGTGAGCCTCAATAACAGTCAGTATTTATGCTCATGGGTGCATAACTAGTGGAGTGACTGAGTAAACTCTGGGACTTACAGCATGTTGCACCCATTTTCAGCCCCTGTAGATAGCATGCATGATTAATGCTTCTGCTCCATGTCTTTGCAAACACGTATAGTAATGTGGGCTGAAGAAAAAGCAAGAAGGCCAGTTTAAATGATTTTACTGTTTAATCTGGGAAGTGGCTGCCTTGTGACTTGGTTATTTTGATAACACGGCCACATAGGAATCTATTACATTTGAAGGTTCCCATGAGATAACCATGCTGGAGTCTGGTCTGTGTCAACAACAGGCACTGGACAGGACTTGCTTATTTGTGGCTTGTGTCAGCAGAGGAGCTGTTTCCCTGTTTCATCTGCTTCTTGAGTGTCACTGACTCCAGTCACTGGTCACTCATCTAGGGAAGACAGAGTGATGGTGGCCCCTTCTCTTGTCTTCCGTTCCTTGCCAGTAGCTCCCATTGAAGGTACTCAGAAGGAATCCAGGAGATGCCAGGGAGGGCCACACAGCACACACACAAATAGATGTTGTGGGCAGTGGCTAAGAACGACAATCAGTGCTTTCTAGATGCATGGGGCGTAGATGAATGGAAGGATGGACAGGTGAATTGTTGCAAAATTGTGAAATAGTTGCATCAATTTTTTTCCTGGCAAGTATTGAAAATCCCCTCCTTACGTAACAACTACTAGGGAGAATCAAACTGGATTTTATGGAACTGGTTTAAAAAAAACAAAAACATTTCAGTGCTTTGTACACATGACTTTTGAGTCTTAAGTTTATTTCTCTGATGCAAGGAAGAGTATTGAAAACAGATCATACATGACCTAACGATGGTAGTGAGTTAGATGTTAGCTTTAAGGAAGGGAAGGGGAGAATTTGGCTCAGCTTGCTGTGTGAGGTGCCCTGGGGACGTTTTCTGAACTCCATAAATTACATAATTATTAGGCGGCTAAGTTGATTACCAGAAAGATGATTAGCCTATTCTGTTTACAGCATTTAAAAATGTGCATGCCAGATAGAAGGAATGAACTAAATTCAAAATGTCAGTCATGGACTAAAGACTGGGTGAGCTGCTGTCATTTCCCGCTCCTCCTGACCCCCCCTGTGAAGCCCGCGGGAGCTGTACCTGTGTGGGTTCTCCTGACCCCCCTGTGAAGCCCGCGGGAGCTGTACCTGTGTGGGTTCTCCGGTGTGCCTTCAGGTGGGAACTTTTCGTGTACACTTTGTTGCATCCTTCAAAGTCGCATCTGTGGATGCGCCGCTTCCTGGAGTCCGGCGATTCTGATCGTCTCTGGCGTCTTGTGCTCTCAATACTAAATGGTGAGATTGAACTGTAAAAGAAAGAGGGCCATTACATGGTGAGAAGCACAGCCCTTCGTCTGGGGCCTTAGCAGGTTGAGAACATGGATTCTGCCACCTCATGGTTTCCATGACCATACACCCTGCTCTCATCTCCTGGAAGTGTCTTAACAGCTGAAGAAATCAGCATGGCTACGCTTGGTTAAAGAGTTCCAGGGAAAGAAAGGCAATGCTTACAACAGCAAACTAGGAACAGTGATCAGCATGTGAGAGGCTGAGACAGGAGGAACCAAAGCTAGAGGCCAGCCTGGGCCACATTACAAAACCTGTGTCTAAAAACCCAAACCCACCAAGCCAATTTAATGCAACAAACCCAAACTAAAGCCAAGCGGAAGTCGAGCCAAGAATGCGAATCTCCCTTATCAGTGCTAAATGAACAGCTCAGCTTGGAATGTCTAGTCTGTCTAGGGAATGTCTTAGGAAGCATGTCTTCCCTGCTCGAGGTAGCATCAACATGAACATACATAAGAGGGGCATCTAAATCCTATGCAGTGTTACACAAGCATACAAAAGTCACAGTACAAATTTCAAGACCATTGAGGTCAGGGTGAAAGAAACGGCAGCCATACATCAACATGGTGACTCATGACAAGTAATTTCTGTGCAGAGAAAAGCACTTGATATTTTACTTCCCTACTTGGTGGTTTTGTTGAGGTGAGGAGTAAAGTGCATTGTCTTTAAAGATTAGCTGTCCTGCTATTATGAAAAAAGAAAGACTTCACCAAGTTTGGCCCAGACTTGCGTGTTGTTTCATTTTAATGCCCAGTAGAAAAACAGGATTAGTTTGTAATGTCAGGTAATTCATTTACATGTACCTTTTTCAAACCTTAATCTCTTCTGATTGAGACAGAAAGAACATGACTCACCTTTTTATTAGCAATCCACGATGTTCTCCAAAATTATAGTGAAATGGGATAAAGAAACAACCATCCCTGTTTCTACAAGACACATTTACCATTACTGACATTTTGTCATTTAAATGAGATGCTATCTACCATAACTTATCAACTCTCAGATGTATTCTCGGCCCCCCCCCATCTGGAACTTCTAAAATGAAGCTGCTTCTTGCAACTGGAGGATTGTTATAGGTTAGCTGGCATTGTTTTCTTTATTAGAGGCACGCAAAGTAATTACAAGTTTTACAATGCCTATTTCAATTTTGAGGAAGGGTTGGTTGGCTCTTTCTGCAAAGGATTAGGTAGTAACTATTTTATTTCAAAGTTAAGGACCATGAAGTCTTATGCTGTAATTAATAAACTCTAAAATTCTATTATGCAAGCAGCTATAGACCACATGGTAACAGAGGAGCCCAGTTTCAGTAAAATTTTCTTTATAAAAATAGCATAATGGCCTACCTGTCATAGTCTCCTGACTTTTCAGTTATGCATTACGGTACTTGTTCAACAACCATGCATCCCTACATTTTAAAACCCCATCTCTTAAGTGACAAACAGAGTCTGTTTTTGATACCACACTATTCTATGACTCCAGCCACCTGGTTTCCAACACTTCCTTCTAGCGTATTTTCTAGCATATTTCTGTTTATTTTTTCAAAGTACCTTTTCTAGTCTACAAACAGTAGATTAGGCAGCCGAAGCTTCAGAGTAGTTAAGATCGAATATAAATGCTGTTTACCAAGCCTCAAACAGTTTAACTTGAGATCCAGACTAGAGCGAAGGAAGCCAGGCTATGCCTGGGTAAACCACTTTTTAAAGCCTTCATTATCAATCAGCGTGGATTTGTGGTTTTCCACGTCATTGATTCAGTTGCTGGAGACAGGACTCTATTGTGAAAAGAGTCAAAACAACATGAAAGAATAGCTTTAGTCAGTCCACAGAGAGATTGCAGAAGGGAGTAAGATTCCTGCGCACAAGAAAGACTATGTGTGCCCTGATATGGTGAAAGACGTTCATTTCTTGAATATGTAGCCATGAAAATAAATATAGATTTTGGAACTAAGAGCCTTATAAGAGAAAGTCCTTTATTGTGTCGTGTGATGTTTGACATCTTTCACAAATCAGGACAATGATAGCATTTGTTTCCATTAAGTTAAAATTTAAGGCCTATAACAGGTATACTGTTTTGTACACTATTTCCTTCACATTAACATATAGAATATTAATGTCACCCCTACACCAACCCAGCCACGCAGCTTTTGCCTGTGGTTGACGTTAGTCACTTATCTTGCTAAGAATTTGTGTATACCGTGAGAAATTAAAATAAATCTGAATCCAAACCAGCTAATAATGGTCTTGAGGGGACCAGGGAAACACTATTGTGACACAGTCCATCCACTAGTTAACTGTGGGGCAGGCTCGTAAAACGAGCAGAGGCTGCCAGTGGGAGGTATCTGCTTCCCTGAGTTTTGAATATAATCAACTTGAAGAAGTGGAATGGCCTCAACACTCAGCCCTTAGCCTTTGGTTTTCCTCATTCTGAAGCATAATTTTTTTAAAATGTTACGAAGAGCAACCATGGAAAAGAATCTGCCCAAGAGAAATAAGATGGGAAATGCTTTTAAAGGTGTCTGAATGAGGAGTGGAATGTAGGAAAGCTGGTTCTAAGGGCATTCAATGGCAGTTGTTCTTTGTCCCTATTTCCTTGTTTTCTCCAGCAGCAGATAGAGGAAGCAGCCTTTAAGCTGCTCCTTTCAGTGCCACTTGATCTCTTTGCAGGAAGGTAGTGGTCAAAGAGGACTGAGCAGAATCCAGAAACATCCCAATGCTATGGAGGACTGCCACAGCCTGGAAGCCAGGGTGTAATCCACAGTGAGCAAGCATTGTAGGTAGATGGGATTTGGCTGAGCCAATTCCATGCCTAAGCTCAGTACCATGTTGTCAAGGTACTAGGTAACTTTACAGCCTAGGATGTCATGAGCATTTAAGAAATGAATCATAAGAAAGGTATTCCTGCTTCATTTTATATGTAATTTTGAGTTGAATAATTAATCCTCATTTGATTGTTTGATTGTTGCATCTTCAGATAACAGAAACCCAATTTTCACTGCTGATTCTTCCTGATTCTTCATATTTTAAATGGGACTGGGTATCAGGGATTCAGCATTAACTGTCAACAGACACACTCTTATAAACATCATTGTTCTTGCAGCAGTTCAGATCATGATATCCAAACACATGGCATATCCACTGAGATATGTGTGTCAGAGGCTGGAAAGTGACAAACAGATCCTCTCCTGTAGGTATTCAGATAAGTAGGAAGGGGTACAACAGTGACACTGGTCCCAGAGCACTGCCCCAAAGGATCCCATTCTGGGGCTTCCCGTATGCATGGGTGTAGCAGAAGGGCTGTCGGTTTCTTCACGGTGTGTATACTATACCCTTTATGTCCCATGTTCTCAGAGTTCTGTGTTCCCTGCTAGACAGCAATGAGGATCCAAGCCTACTTGGTGCTTCATAAATTGGACTTGTTCTATAGAATGTAAATGTGTAATTTATGACTGCATTGAAGGTACAGAATTATTTCAATGCTATTTACTAGCAATCTTTGTGTGTTCAGAATGGATGAGATAAGATGGTTGGTACTGTGTTCACAAATTTAAGGTCATCAAGAGCAGTGACTTAAGCTGGCCAGATGGCTCAGTGGGTAAGGGCAGTTGCCATGCAATCCTAGAGTTCCAAGTTCAATACCTGAAACCCACTTAAAGGTGGAAAGAGAGACAATTCCACAAAGTTGTCCTCTGACCTCTACATGTGTGCTATGGCATATGCACACTCCCCTGTCATACACATGTGCAAATGCACACACACACACACACACACACACACACACACACACACACACATAAAACACACAAACACAAAACACATAATACGTACACACACCCAACACACGCA